GAAAAAAATAGGAATAATGCAAGTATGACCCAAAATGAGGAGGAAGAGAGAACGAAAGTGGTGATGATGTGGTGTGATAGTACTACATAGGCTGAGAGAGGGGAAAAAGAGGAATCTGGAAGGAGAGAAGTTCGCCTCTATGAGAGGCAGCATTTCACTGTCATTGACTAGAGTATCGCTGCCTTGTTATAGCGAAACAACGGTGTTACTCACTAAATCCAACGGGGACTCCTGAAACGTCGAACATTTGTAACCGACAAATGTTTGGACATCTAAAAACGCACACATACGCTTGTAGCTGGTTTGCCAAATTTTTAACTATACGAAAATGTGAGAACAAAGAAGGAGAACATTAAGCATGAGTGCTAAGAATCGCCTTGTTGCTTTTGCGGTATTATTTGACACTGATATTTCAATGATTTAGCCTCTCATCATCAATGAAAAATAATTCTGGGTGTCGAACTACAGTGCGAATCAGTTGAATATTTCTTTATCAGAGTCGCTAGATGAGACGACGTTCAAGATATCTATACGGATCCAACAAGAGACTTCAGGATTTCTATTCGCATGTCTGGCCAAAAGGGTGCATCTAGCATTGTGGCAAAGGCTACACTACAGTTAACGCTAGATCGTTGGGCTGACTCCGTACCAGAGGTTAACCAATCTTCCAATTCCTTCGCGGTCGGAAGATTGCTACCTTGTCTCGGAGGATAGCGGCACTGATTTAATACATTAGTAGACCACCTGGAGTCACTGTAAGCCAGATGTGCATACAAGCTCCTCTATGACGCTTAGTGAAGTCGATTGCGTAGCATATCCTTAAAAGATTGACGAAGGTCGGAACCTTCATCTTTTTATGCTCATCTGAGTCTGATCAGGTGCTAGAGATCGCTAAGCATTCCGAAAAAAATTTGGTCAAAACCAAAGTGGAAAACCAGGGTCCACTACCCAACGAATGTTGATTGTTGCTGATGAGACCCGAAAACGTCTTGACACCCCATCTAGAAATACCTGACGGAAAAAAGCAGCAATATTTTCAGAGCTTTCTGGAAGTTGTATCCAGAGCAGCTTACCAGCAATTTGTGGCCTCAATGTTCTACGGGGTTGGGCGAACCAATGATCGATCATACATTTATTAGCCGATATCTCTAATCACTCAAATCTTTCTATTCAGTTAATCTCTAATCACCCATGCTCCAAAACGAGTAGCATAACATGTAGATAAAAATTGCGCTTTTAGCCCGAATTTAGCCCGCGCTTTTAGCCTAGTCTGAGCCTGTATTTTGCCATTGTCAGTCGACAGTTTTGTATCCTCCTAAAACATGGAACAAACATTCTACTGTACTTCCTGCACAACACCTTATAACTCGACGGATGCGTTATAAGGCTGTGCTGTATTGTTCAATTCTTAGAAAGCACGGAAAAGCAAACATGTTTTACAACAATTCTTCTGCTACAGCAACAGCAAGCATTAAAGCTCAAATAAATGGCGACTACTCACGGATATCTTCGAGCTACAATAAGCACAGATATGATAAGCCATACCTTTCCACTTCCAGTCGCTGTTCTACTTCACTTTCAGAGATTTGAGTGCCTGTTGTATTCATAATTTTTGCGCTTCTTTTCAGATAACCTTAATAAGGAAACGATTTCACAAATTATTAGCTACTCACCAAACTCTTGCTTAACGATGGTGGGTTAGCGTACACTCCACCGAAGCTTGGTCCAGCTGCACCTACAACACTCTCCTTACTCAAAATGTGGGAAACAGATTTAACATAACAGAATTTACCTGCAGGAGCCGCGACGTATGGAAGACCAGATGGTTGTACTACTGGCGAGGGCTGCAAACTAGGTCCAGCACTAGGAAATTGACCAGAACCAGCGCCACCAGCACCTTGTGGAAGAGAAGGTACTGCATATGGCTGCTGCATTCCGCCAAACAATGGCAACGATGGAGCGAGCGGAGGAGCTTGTACGTAAGCAGGAGCTGCAGGCGGTGGTGGAGGAGGTGGAGGAGGCGGAGGAGGTGGTGGTGGAGCGTATCTGAATATATGACATTGTCACTGTCTCTGAAACCTATTGAGCATAGAAACGAAGACTGCTTAAGCTGACAAAACCCGCAAAATCACTAAATAGCACTTTACTAAACCAACTTCCACTTAACCTCAGCGTAAGTGACCAACATATTTCTTTGGATTGTTGGGCTTAGATGAGGTTGTCATACAACTTTTATTCGGTTAACGTTTCGATGTTTCGTTTTCTTCAGGGTCGGTTAACCTAGTCGGTGGTCCACAGTCGCTCGCCCTCGCCTTGTAGCATTGAGTCGAGTTTTCATAAATGACGCATAGTCAAAGTTATTACAACAATTAAATTTATTATTTAATTGAAATTTTATTCGAAAAGTTCTCCACTTGAGAACATTCGACTCTACGTGATTGCGAAAACCCACAACGCGTCGACAAATGACAGCGGACCATCGACTCGGAACATCGGCTATGAAGATGAAGATGTAGAAACGTTAGCTGAATAAATACCTGGTGACATCCCTATGATGCCAAACAATCCTATGCGAATTGTATTCCACGAGTCAATTCGGCCAAAGGCCTGCAATCAAGTGACTGGAAAGTATATGGGAGGCAGTTAGCAGTCACCTCCAAAAAATGAGCTGCATGTCCACTCTGGGAGAATATGACAAGCAACCCGTGAATATACCCCGCCCTCACGTTCAGAGCCCAGCAAGCTATACGTGGGTATCAGAAATGCTAAACACAGTTTAAAAAAACGGGTCTCATTCTTCTGATCCTGAAAGAGCCCCAATTTCGCAGCGTTGGGTAGGACGAGAACGGAGAGGCTGCTAAAAGCTCAGGCCAATGGAAACTGTCTGGATTTCAAAAAACTATGGTGACGATCTGTACCTACAATGCACGTACACTTGCATCCGAGTTCTCGATAGAATACTTGCTCATGCAGACAAGAAGAATAAAGTACGACGTCATCGACCTCGCCGAGACGAGAAGACGCCAGCCTTTCAACGCCGTCTATGACACCGGAGAAGAACTGTTCCTCGAACGTGCGACAGTAGAGGAGTCAGTGGCGTCGGCGTTCTCGTCAACACGAGTTTGTCCATGAACATCGATTCATTCGATCAACTAACAACTGGAATCGGACGTTTACGATTAAAAAATGTGGATCTATTCCAGCCTTAACAATCTCCGTCGTTTACGCGCCGACTTCAAACTATGACGAAGAAGAAGTCGAGGCGTTCTATATGGACTTGGAGAATTTCTACAGTGAGACCACACATTCTTCAGGGTTATCACTGGAGATTTTATTGCCAAGACTAGACCAACAAAAACGTCTGGAAAACGTCACATTGGGACCCACGGTTTAGAATGGAACGAGCAGGGTGAGCGGCTGTATGAGTTTAACATGGCGACGAAGACAATCCATGGTAACTCGCAATTCCAGAAATTTCACCCTCAACGCTGGACGTAGGAGTCTTCCAATGGAGAGTACCATAACGAAATAGACCACATCATAATAAGTACAAGGCTCTACCTAACCGATGTCGATGTTGCTACAAAATTCTACACGGAATCAGACTATCGTCTCCTTCGCGCAAAATTCAATTTCTCGCAGGAAGGAGAAAAAGACCCACCGCAAACTGGGACTTATTCAATTCATTAGTCGGCTGTTGAAAAGATGCCGTTGTCGATAACATCGACGAAGAATACGATCGGCTCATTCAATATCCTCACGTTAGCACTATGAAAGCTGAGAGTTCGAAAGTCACCAAGAGACGTATGTCTCCAGAAACACTCGAGCTAATATGCCAGCATGGAATCGCACGAGCTGCAGGCAACCGCGAAATAACGTCAGAACTTGCAAAACGATAAAGACAGGTAATAAAAGAAGATCTTAAAAAGAGAAAAGCAGCATAATGGTTGAATCTGAAGAGGCTGGGAAAAGCATTCGCAAAGCCCGCCGAAGCTTCGTCAATTACAAGACCAAAATGATTGCACTCCGGTGCCCAGATGAAGCAGTTACAGCGTCCAGTACAGCAATGGAAAAAACCATTCACGAATACTCCTCGGAACTCTTCAATAGCCACGTCCACCTTTCGTCATATGAAATAAAGGAGGATGGATATGTTGCACTACCGGTTCTCTCTTCTGAAATCCGACCTGCCATTCCGTCGGTGAAAAATCGAACAGCACCAGGCTCGGAGAGGATAAGATCAGAAAACCTAAAGAACCTTCCGCCAGTCCTCGTAAAAACGCTGGTCCGGCTCCTCACACGTTACCTGTCAGAATTCAAGGTCCCTACTCAGTGGAAGACCAGCAACACCGTGTTATTGTTCATGAAGGGCGACCTACACGATATCGGCAACTATCGCTCAGTCTGCTTGCTGTCTGTCTTCTACAAACTTTTCACTCGAGTCATCCTAAACTGGATTGACAGAACACTAAACGAAGGAGAGCTATGTGAGCAAGCAGGATTTCGAAAAGGATTTAAGACGATGGACTACATCCATACGATAACAAGTCTCATTAAAGTATCGTGAGAGTAAAAAAGACAGCTCTGTCTCACTTTCATTAATTTACAGAAGGCCTTTGATTCAATTGAGATAGAAGCAGTCATGGAAGGCAGTCCCTACTACTCAGTACATAAAGATTTTTCGTGAGCTGTACAAAAATTTGACAACTAAGATACCACGATTCTACAACGATATTAACATTGACGTCAAAACAGGAGTTAGGCAAGGCGGCACCATCCCGCAAAAATTATTTACCGCCACCCTTCAGAACGTCATGCGAATCGATGCTGGGCAGTTACATCATCTTCGCCTTGCTGATGACATCGTCCTTATAACACCAAACATTAGCCAAGCGGAACGTATGCTTGATGACTTTGATAAAGCCTGTGAAAAAATTAGTCTTCGACTAAATCTGACAAAAACGATGTTCATGAGGGACGAATTGGTTTCGTGTGCCCCGTTCACGCTCAACGAAACGAATATCTCCCCGTGCTGCAGTTATGTCTATCTAGGTTGGGAAATCAATGTGATGAACTATTTAGCTCCAGAGCTGAGCAGAGAAGAAACCAAGCGGCTTGGGGAGCTTTCAAGAGCATCGAAAATGCAGTGAGGAGGGCAAAAAACACCCTACTCCATGCCCACCTTTTCGGCTCAACGGTACTTCTTGCCCTAACGTATGCGTCAAAAACCTGGTTGCTGCTAAGCAGGACGAAAGATCACTCAGCGTTATCGAACGAGCAGTCGAGAGGACAATGCTAGGAGTATCCTGTTCCACACAAGTAAGGGATGGGATCCGAAGCCCCGATCTGCGTCAACGATCAAAAATCGAAGATGCCGTGTTTTGTACGCCACACAGTCGAAGATAAGGTGGGCCGGACACGTAATGCGTATGAATGACAACTGATGGACAAGAGGCGTTAGTGACTGGATTCCACGGAATGTCAAACGTACTGCAGGAAGACCAGCGACTCAATGGTCAGAGTTCTTCACAAAAAGGCTAGAGGAAAGATATGATGCTTGACGAGTCCCTAGAGCTAGCAGAACCAACTGGGCTACTCTTGCGCGCAGCGTGGAGAAATGGAAGATTTACTGGCCCCCGCTCGAGTCACTCGACGGTCAAAGGGACTACAGGTGATACAGGTGATAGCTGTCAAGTTTGTGCGGCATATTTATTTTCATTGCAATGACTTATCCTTATTTGAATTACGATTTCGTTGTGCGTTTTTATGCCGAAATGAATGCTATAGGAGGGTATTACCCTCCCTGGACTTACGCTGGAAGACATTGTGGCGTCGGTGGAGCACATACTGGTGGTGGTGGTGGTGGTGGCGCAACAGGACAGCAAGCTGATGGTGCTCCAAGCCCTCCTAGGAGCCCACCACCACCGAGACATGCCATCAGTGGTGACGTTGACAACGAAACAAGAAGCACGGTACGTATCTGAAGCTCAGCAGATAATTTTTGGAGAGAAGATTGATTTGTAGACTTCATTTTTCTCGTTCTTCTGTTTTCCATTTTCCGACTTTGTTATAACTATTTTCTGTGAATTTTGTACATATTTTTAGCTAATACTTTAGAATCATGTTGTTAGCTAATAGTTTCTAAATCGCTTCTTTCAGTCACTTGAATACATTAGACGTCCAAATAGTGATGGTCGTGGATATTTCTTGTCATCAGAAATAATTCATGGACTATGAATCGAGCCGATTTGAGCAATTACCGATTACAGTACTAACCAATAACATATCTGCTGTGGTGAATCTTAAATCTTACTGTGATAAATCAGAGATAGCATATCTCAAATAGTAAAAAAAAATACTATTCCAGCAAATACTTATCGATTAGAGACGCTTCGAATAAACTATGAAACAAGCGAACATACCATAACTTTCTCACGTTACGCCTAGAAAAGCGACAACGACAGCGGTAGCCGTTAGAATCGTAAATTCTCGATTGTAGTGAGGATTCCTAGCAACGAATGGCGATGATATAAAAGCCAATGTTGAAGTCGTATGCTGATGCCGAAATTCTGCCTACCTTTCGACTTTTATAGATCCACAAGCCGGATCAGGATGGCGGCCGCCCTTTGCACCGCCCAATTTTATTGTCGTTGGCCTATTGCCAAATACCGCCTCCTTAACTTAAGATATATCTGCTAAAAGTATGCGTACAATTTTTCGCCTTTTTTCTACTCCTCGCTAGCAAACGTTGTGAATCCAGTTTGTGGGTACGCGTCAAAATCACAATAACTGCAGCTATACAGTTTCTTCTCGTTGTTAATAATGATTTGGTTTCGTACCCTTCATTTAAATGAGAGCACGTGTAGCGCAATAGTCAAATATTTTCTCTAATACACAAAAAGTCTTTAGTTCGACTTGATTTCAAGGGTTAACTAGACCTCTCGTCTGTTCGCTATCAACAAGTTGGGAACAGAACGCTGGTGGGTGCATCGGCAAGGCCCAATAAGTACGAACCAAGTATGCATTCAATCACTACTGCAATGCTACGAATGGAGTGGACCGTGCAACGCTTACCTATAAGGTCGATAGACTTCGAATGCTTTATCCTTCATTTTTTATATGTATCTACATCAAATATGCCTCTACTAGTCATCAAATAAATCACACACTGTCACCATTTTCTCCATCACTCGTTCTCCAGCAACTCATTGAGAAGGGCCGTTTACACGAACAGCATCACACGTCTTTCAACGAATGCTACTTTTTTACCGATTTTTCGTGGGAAGACATCTAGTGTAGTTTCACCGTGATCTATTTGTCAGAGATTTTTACCCCTAGTTGAACTTCTACATTGAAATTCTCAACTCCTTTGTAGTGCTTGCTGTACTACTGCCTTGTTGTGTGTGATGAACCCTCATCTATAAATCACAGTTTTAAACACAGGGTGGACCCGATTGAAGAGTGATTCCGTTGTTTATTTAATGTGGGAGGGTGCTTCGAACTAATAGGTATACTTGCATCGTACATCTATAACCACTGTGCTAAACGCACTCAATGATTGATACGTAATGGCATGTTTTCATGCTTGGCTCATTTAATTATCAACTTCTCACCGATTTTCTAAGAAACGAAAAGGGTGCTCAAAACTTTTTCGAATACATTTCCAAACTTTTGTTATTATTGTGCAACCTTAAAAATTAGATTAAGGACAACCGAGCCTTCCATCAGTTAACTTCTAGTCATCATGGAATTGCAGCTTAGCGTATTCTAGAGCGAAGCAAAATTCTTTTAGAGAAGTCGGAAACAAGCAAAAACTAGAACGACAAGTTTTCAATCGAAACCACTCTTCTACTTTTTCGTAGATATCGGTTGGATTGGAACTTATTAAATGCACAAAAAGCGTGAATGAAAAGACCAAACCTAAGTGGACACTCTGTCATCTATGGATGATTAAGCGCATATCTTCCCTAAACTTCTGCAGGCTTGCCGATTTATCATGCCAGTGCGGCTCTGTCGTTCTACAAAAATCTAGCACCAACTTGCCTGTCTGGTGAGTTGGATAGCTAGAGGAACCCTGGATGCAGGATCGGACCAACAGTCGACCTTGTCTGTACTGCATTCCAACTCTAACTACTACGCTACGTGCGCGTTTTGACACTCTCTATAAATAATAGAATTATTCCAATAAAATGGTAAAAAATTGAGTCACATAATCTTCTCTTACACCTTCCGTCTAAAATAGATTCATTTCACAAGACGTGCATGCTTGAATGCTTAGATGAACATTGTTTGCAAATAACACGATTCTGAACAAGACTTCCATTTCAATTGTGTTTTCTATTTGGAAATGATTTTTTCACACAGCCCAACCTAGCTACGCTAGGATTTTCTCGACACATCACCAATGCTAGCAAACGCTAATGCTCTTGGATAGAGAGGAGGTTTGTAGTTTTTCGACTAGACCTTCTCCAAGGACGTCGGAGATTCCCGGTCTAATTGTACTCTCACGCTCTCTCTCCTTACCATACTTTAGCTTTCGATTTCACTATCTTTCGTTCTCACTCGTTATCGCTGTTCTTGTAGATGGAAATACTGAACCTTCCGGATTGTGTGCTTCTACCGGATACAGTTGCAAATTGCTACAGCTGACAGCCTAAGAATACATCGTTACCACATGGAGCCGGTGAATCACTAATTGGAAATTTATAGTTTAAATCCATTCAGGTCAAAAATAGATACTTCCTTCTTTAACAACTTAAGCCCTCGGCGTTGATCAATCCCTGAGAGATGCGCCGTGCATTCAACTTCGTTAATTATCATTGGAGGTGATTGAATGCATATCTGGCCTTTACTCTCGGTGGCCTATCGGTGTGTCGAGCCAGTGCTGCTATACTACCAGACAAGTCTGGTACCAATCTGCCGAGCCCTGAGGACTGAAAGCCTTGGTGAGCCATAGGCGCGGGGATTGATTCAACGTGTGTGCCTCAGTGGCGCCTCCAACCATTGCACCACACGCGCCCTTAACAAACTGGTAAATGACGATAATTATCGTACCTGATGATTATAGAGGAATTTTTATGAGGCTAAAGTCGGAAGTCTTTGTTCTATGAAGATATTATATTGCGTCGTACATTAATCACATCACAACCTCGAAATAGATATTAACATCCGCCTGAATTCTACCTTTTCCCTCCGTAGCTGATAAGTTCCAGGCTTTCCAGTGCGACAGCAAGAGCCTAACACTTCGAACGGTATCATGACTTCTTTAGTCCTAGAAAGTTTATGTTGATATTTAACTCACTTGATTAACAGCTTTCGAGCCTTTATGTGTTTTAAAACAAATTTATCAACAATTCTTTTAGACGAAATGAGATCGTTCAGTCCAACTGTGAGGCGTAAGGGTTTCCGGAAACATTGGTGTCCATCATCGAAACTCTTTAGAAACTGGTCAGATGTGAACATTGCCTCCTTTCTCTTGCCGTTAAGCGCGTTGTAATTCTCAAGCCGGCTATGGTTCGAATTTTCGTGCTATCTCAGCCAATTACAGACAAAAAGTGAGTAAAAAACGAGTACATCAGTTTTCTGGTATTTGCTTCAACATAGTCACATAGTCAAACTTCTTTGACTTTAATGCTTTTATTCAAGACTTCTTAACATCACTAGTAACAGTGGACACTGACCCACATTCCACTCAGCCAAACACTTTCACAACGTCAGCAGAAAAAACTCAGCACGTATATTTCGTACGCATACTAAACAGCTTCTTCCAAACACTCATCAGATGAGCAAATGACAACTACTATGGTAGATCACTCTTTTTCACCGGATACTGCATTTCAGTAGTTAGGAGTACCTATAAGCACGCTATTTTTCGCGCATGATATCCACCTTCACAAGCTTAATCGATGACGTAGTTTACGTGGAAGATCCATGATTCAGACGAAAACACGTCGCCGTAAGCTAGCGTTTTCCAACTAATTGCGACTGCGTTAGTTCAACAGAAAAAAATGTTACCGACAAGCGATCATCCGTACAGAGAACGTTCGTCAGAGATCTTAGTCAGTCAAAATCGACCCAACAGCAATTCATGCACATCTGTGTCGTGATGACCATTTCAAATCCGATAAATGGAATACTAGAAGATCTCGGAGACCACAGCATTACAGTAGTTCATAGTAGTCCGATAGAGCGCCGTGTTACGTCATGAGATAGGAACGATACAACAAAAGAACATGTATTAGTTGCCTTTCGTTCCTTTTGCCCTACACGGTTCATTTTTATTCCATTACCTTCCGTGCTCGTCCCACTGATACCTTTTCCAGTAGCAGCGCTAAAATTATTACATTACCAAGTTCTACCCATGAAAACAAAGAAATTAACGATGGTAGCGACTATTGCCACATAGGTGCTTCTTTCTTTACATGATGACCAACCAAGCAATGGGATATTCTCGAATTTATGTATTCGAAAAGTTTTGCTTCCTGACAATGATAACTTCCTTAAAGACCTTTGAAATTACTGCCACTCTGCATCTATATGATGCACAACCGTTGTAGATATTTTGAAAAGAAAAACGATGTCTGGATTAATAAGAGAGAACAAAGAAAAAAAACATAAAGAAGAAAAGGCAAGGACAGTGTCGGACAGAAAGAGAGAGATATATAGTAGAAAACTCTGAAGTGCCAAATCATGGAAACCGCTAGCGCAAACGGTAATTGACGCTCCGATCTGGATTGCTTAGCAGCATCAGATTCGCCAGCGTTGTACGCAATGCATCGAATCCGCTGTAAATTTAGCAAAACAACTCTAAAAACTTGTAATATAAATAACCGTTCAAAAAACTGGAAAAGATAAATAAATACAACAGCGAGGAAGATTACATAAAGGACGCCAATCATCCTTTCACCCATCCACGCAACTGTCTATTTGAATAAGCACAAAACGTTAATAAGTCATTCAGCTTCATATCTTTGGATACCTACTTGGATACTTGGACGGTCCGCCTTCACGAGATGTGCACACCCCAACACATATACCATTCGTTCCTTTCCCTCGCAATCGCGGTCCATGATGGTCGTCTTGCGAGCATGGTAGCGCGTGCGAGTCTCATACCGTGATCTGTAAAACAACTGCAGCTGCGGGTACAGCTGATTAACTTTGTTTACGAACACGTCCACGGAACGTGTAGGTGTACTTCCAAGCGAACGTTTGCATTCTCTTGGAGTCCACTCCACTGTTCCTTTCGTCCATCTGTCGTCCGTTCTTCTCATAATGTGACCGGCCCATCTATGTTTCTCTGTCGATGTATATTCTCCTGGATCTCAAGATGTGACAGATTTCGAAGGTCAAACCTTCGCATTCCGGCCAGATATTGAGAGTGCCGGTTATATTTCAGAATGTTCGAAACATTCTTGACATAGCTGTAGTATCAACCCATGTCTCTGCAGCATAACAGAGCGCTGGGAGGACCGTAGAATCGAAAAAATGAGCGCGGATTCTCGGGGTCTTCAGTTGGTCGGTGGTGGCTTCTTTGAGAGACCCGAATACGGCCCAAGCTGCTTTCCTTCTTCTATCTAATTCCTCCTTCATGCTGTTTTCTATGTTCATTGGTCGCCCAAGGTAAACGTACGAGGTGGTCTCTGCAATGGCCTCATATCCTAGACCGCCTAAAGTCTCGCTAAGATGACTGAATGCATATATAGCCCATACAATGACTTACGGCAAACTAAAAACGTACGAAATCGGTGTTTTTGTCCATCAAAACAAGTCTGGCAAAAAATTTACGATTCCGAAGAATGGAAGGCTTGGGTAGTCTGGACATGAGACCTAACATAGGGGGCCATTAGCGTGTTGCAGAACACCTCTAACCGCCGCGCTACAGAAGCTTTGAATTCTTACCAGGGCCGGAAAAAATGAAAAAAGTGAAATATAGCTGCAGAACTTCCACCGTCATTCGTAATTTATCTCGTCATAAATAGCTGACAGACGAAAACGGAACTCATTGCATCACACGAAACCAAATCAACCCATAATGAAGCCGATCTTATTGATATGATAGTATGAAGTTTCAATAGATATTCAGCAAAACATCTTCATAACCCTCAATGATTCATTCCTCTTCCATCGTAAATACGAAAAACGAACCCTGCCTTGTTAAGAATATTTCGACCAGTCTTAAAGCCACGTAAAAGTGTATCGGATCCGAGAATCCAGAATGAAGTCCCGTTGCGATTCCATAAGGAAATCCATTTACGAATGACTTAATGCGACAAATACAACGAATCTTTACGCGCTCGCTGCTAATCGCACACGTAAACTGCCGCGGCGCCCTGTAATCATTCATAGACGGCGCGCAAAACTCACATCAGAGCGCATTCTCGCTTCATAGAAGGGAATTCGTTGCTGAATCCGAGCGCTAAATCAGACTTGAATCTCGAAAATATTTTCATTTGTGATAGGAATAAGCTGAAGAATCCGATCAATTTTTAATTAAACCTCATAATGTGGTACCTACACCAATTTTTAACCACTGAGTTGTGCTGGGTGTGGAAAAAACGAAATATAATACATTTAAGTTCAATCTCCGTCTCTTACCACGACATATCGACAACAAAGCACTTTCCAAAAAACGCTTTCAATTGATTACTTTTTGTATACTATTTAGTTTCGGATGGTTGTAAAACTTTAGGTGAGTTTCGAAAAAATCATGAGCAGCTTGGTGCCAAAAAAGGGCTGGATATCAAACAATATGGGTAGAACACTTCAGATTCATGCGAAAATTGGCAGCATACTGTTGTTGCAGTAATCAAGAATTCCTATTTCTGGGTGAGCCCTCCCTTATCAAAAATTCCAGTGATTTTTCTCCGCTTCCCTCATAGATCTTCTGCCTTGTGAAGAATAAGTCAACCAGTCTTATGCATCGTTTAAAAACTAACGTGGTTCGTATGTGTATTCAAAGAACATAAAATGGTTAGGGGTTACTTGCTATACCACCACCACGCTGAGTCATTTCGGCTAAGGTAAGGTACTAGTTAGCCAAGCCAAGAAAGGTGTTTTATATTTCATTTATTCAGCTCCGATAGCTGCAACTGCTTAGAAAATTATCACTGTTTTGATGCCCAGCACTCTGTCTTCCATTTTCTTTCCCTCTTTTTAATGCTTGAACGGTAATGCACATTGGTTTTAATTCATTACCTTCTTGGTTTATCTTCTCTTGCACAAAGATTTCTTGCCTAACCTTCACGTTAAATCAACTTTTTCCTGCCCTCAAATGGTTTATGCGTTATAAATCGGACATAGCTATTTTCTTCACATTACATTTTAAGAAGACACTTGTTAGGACGAAGCCCATGGATCTTAAAGTGATTCCTTAATCACGGCTTAGACAGGGTAGTATTAAAACGAAATTTATAATGCTGAAGATCTAAGGATGTCTTTGTTCTGGAGGAAACTCGGACTGCATGCATTGAGTTTAATGCACGCAGTATCTGAAAGTAAATTAGCATAGTTGTGAATGTGCTGTATTTAAAAGTGCAGCAAGGGTTGTAAATTTCTTAAATATAAGTGAAAGTCACAGTAGTATGCCGATAGAGGCTTTAGACTTTTCGTTATTGCTTAATAACGACAGAATTAATTAGTCCAAACAGCAAAAGTTTCTAAGATATGCTAAAGCATCTTCCCAATTCAAGCTCGGTGATCATTTCTAAGAAATCGAGCACGCATACTGCACTGGCGCACTGGTTAGAGGTGAGTTACAATACACACTTGATCTTTGGTTCGATCTCGCACCTAGGCTCACCAAGTTTTCCACTCCTACGACGCAGGAAAATTGGAACCAGGAGAGCAACACTTAGCTAATACATAACTAGGCCTCCACAAGTGCAATGACCAGATATGTAGGGACCAGATATGATACGTATAGACCAGTTATGCATTTACTGTTCTCTACCGTGAAACGTTTGGTATCGGATGCAAGGCGAATCACTGAGGAATTGATCAGCTGCGAACACCTAGTGGTGAATTGACCACGACCTTTCAGCCATGTAGACCTTTTCTGTCTTTGTTCTAATTTTTTCCTATATTCTTAAGCTGTTCTCATCACTTATGACAGTTTTTCTCATAAATCCTAATTTAAACGGAGAATGTCAAACAATTTTCATAATGCGATCGAGGGTGCCGTAGGTTATGTGCAGTTGGTGACAGCATAAATGATGAAAACGAACTCGGTTTCACCTATTTCATCGACAACTTGGAGCTACTTTTAATTGTACTAAAGGTGAGAAAAGCGAAAACTACAGCCAGCAGAGAAGTTGAATGATCTCTTACATCATATAGTTTCCTGGTAGCTCGCTTCAAATTCCCGTGTAGCTCCAGAACCTCTTCCATTTCGAATCTGCTATCTCAATCTGTAGCAGTACACCGTTGCTTTTTTCTTCTTTGAACAAAGACAAATTAACCGCACTACAGTTTGTTAGCGATTTAAATATGTCCGCGACCAGTTTATACTCATTAATCCTTCCACTATTATTGTTTGTTGATGAACAAGAACGAGAAAAACTGAAATCCATCGAAAACGCGTATTAAAGTATAACGCGATTTGATCGGAAGGCTAAATCACTACACCTCAAAAAATCCAGGCCTTCCAGATTTAAAAACTTTATAAATCTTGTCCACTTAGATCTAGCAGTCAACGTATTACCGTAGATAGCAACAGCTAAGATGACGCGAACACGGACGAGAGGACGAGTTCTGCGCCGGAGTAGCCGCCGCCGAAGGCGATTACACAGCGGCTCATTGCGTACGCAGTCGGTTGTAAAGCCAACCAAGCCATGTACCGGCTAGAGGCGAAGTGCTTCATGCATGACGATTCATGCCCGTTTTCACCATAACTAGTAAATACAGTAGATATTTTCACCAGAATCAAAACGTAGAATATGGCGTGAATTTGTTGACATGAAGACCGTAAATGAAGGATTTCCGGTGGTCGAAACGATCCCACTTTGGAACCCATTGGCTAGAAAATCATTTCCTTAGTCTTCTGTAGTGCAACTGTAATGATAGCGCTTATAGCCCAGCAATTCGAGGTACTGCACATGGCCACTAGTTCGACCTGTCACTCAGTCTAACCAACTCTTCCGTAACTCCGAGGTTGGCGAATTGATACGAAACTCGTGTATAAAAGCAGGGATGTTGAATTGATACACTGATTGTTACCTGAAAGTAAATGTATAGATCTTAACCTTTTTGTTTACTGCCTATTCTTTTTAACGGCAGGGTGTTTTGCGAAATATGACTACTATAATGCTGAGATATTTGCAAAATTCCGGACCGTGGGTGTCTGCGGTGGGGAATGAACGCGTTATTGTTCTTCCCGGGGAGTAACTGGGTTCAATGGCGATTTGGGCTCCCCAGACCAATCCCGTTGACGGGTGATTGCTGATGACAAAAGATCGATAAAACTAGCTGAGAAATAGGCGAAACGAAGGTTCCGCATGGTGTGGTGGTGAACGTGTTACTCCCCGGAAAGGACAGTAGCGCGTTCGTTCCCCACCGCAGACACCTGCCGTCCGGAGCTTTGCAAATATCTCAGCATTATAGTAGTAAATGTATAGACTTAATATGCATTCGATCTAATCTGCGATGCTACGAATAGATTCGAATTAATGGCGCACGTCTTAGAGATTGATCAACGTCTGGATGAAGCTTTCCATGAATTAGTTCAATAGCAATAAAACCCTGTGTAGAAGGGAACGTCTATAAAATCCTGCATAGAGCTTATGTATGCTATACACCTGACAGACTGAAGACGCTCAATGCCTCAGAATAGTTTGTCGTCTTCCTCCCGACGCTTTACTGCTTCGTCGTTGCTGGGAGGCGTTCCTGGGTGTCGGACTCGATGTATAGCGGGGGGGGGTCATTTACTGGCAGAGTTTTCCAAGCTAAGAAGGAGTCCGGCGTTTCCACCAGAAAGCTCAGCTAGGAGTAAAGCAATACCAGGATCGACCACCGTCTTGGCATCAAACTAGTCGCGTGATGGCAAATCTTCCTTTGATCTACAAAGTCGACTGCCTGTGGTGGTGAAGACCTGGGGCAGACTTTGACCAGACCGACCTAGGGACTCCAGGGAACCACAGTAGATGCACCAGCAAAACTCCGAAAACCGGAAATTATGCTGAGGACCCCACAATTAGTGAAGACGGGCCATCCCAGTATCTAAGTAAGTAGGTTTGTTACCTTGGAGCAGTTTTTCTCTTTGTGAATCAGGAGCTAGCTGTGTTGGGTTGTCCATATGTCAGTTGCCATCTCAAGTTACTGCTGGCGTTTGAGGTGAATTGTAGGGAGCTTTACGTCTTAAGATTAGGTTTCTTCCCATACTGCAGCAGCCACTGGTATAGGTTTATTCATGGCTTCGCTTTTAGATGAAAAATTCGAAATCCGTCCTAATTAGGTCCTATTGGGAAATAACATAAATAATTGGACAAAAGGATAATCTAATAAAGACGACCAACCTCAAACATTTTTTGGTAATATTTTATTATTATGAAAAACACCTCTAGTAATTATACTACATGAAACCAATGAATGGGAATGGTTACATACATACGGAAAATTTCAATGCAAGACGTATAATCCACTGAAACCATCTTTACATTTAGGCAAAGCATTTCCTCGACTTTGTTTTTGTTTTACATCATCACGAACAAGATGCTGGTTCGACCCCGCCACGGCCTCACCAGGTTTCTCATCCTTATGGGACCAAGAAATTACTACCAAACTTGTCTTCGACAACGTTACTCCTTCAAATCTACGTGAAACGTTCTAGGTCGCCTTTCTCAGCACTCCAAGGAAAATCGACTCGATAAGAATTCAACAACATTCATAAAGACGACAATCTTCAAGGAGCAGCGCAGCACACATGCAAAAGTTAGAAGACCTTCGTGGATGATAGATGTGAACAAACTAATCTAATGCAAGAAATACTGGGATTCGCATAGCAGATTGGAAGACAGGTCGTACGAAAATGAAAAAAAGAATTCATAGGTGAACGTGCTAGCTACGTTACCACGAGCCAGCTGGAGATCCTCCCATCGGAAATTTGAAGCCTGATCGAAAAATCATCGTTTTGTGGGTGAGTGTGTGTGTGTGCGTGTCTGAGTGTACAGGTGTGGCAGTACATGTATATACACATTTGCGTATGTGTATGCCCTTGTGTGTCTGTGAGTGTGTGTGTGTGCATGCGTGTGTTCGTGTGTGTATGCACGTGTGTATGTGTGTCTGTGCGTGTGTGTGTCTGTGCACGTACGCACGTATGTATGTATGTATGTATGTGTGTCCTTTAACGTAAGAAACGGCATCAACGCAGCCATAAAAAAAGAGTATTAAAGGTTTGCTGAAGGAGATGTTAGATCTATTATCATGTAATTACACAATCCTGTCGTCAATGAGCTAGTAGTTATGCGTATTAACGTAGCCGACAAGAAATGAAAGCTCGTTTCATCGTCGCGAATTCACTACAGTCATATTATCCAGGATATACGGGTGAGGTGCGCTGTGAGAAAGAATGTATCCTGCACCTGTTGTCGACATCGACGCTCATGATGAAAGCGTGTTGTACGTAATTGCTGACATGCACAGAGGCATCCAACAAACGTCACAGTTCGGAGTGTTCTCAAATATTTTACACCTTTAGTATTAAGCGCACATTGGTATACAGTAGCTTGTGTGATTTTAAGATCTTTTTTGGCGACAACTATTTCATCGCCTCCATTACAAATCAGTTTGTTTCGCTCAATAGAAGAAACAAGGTGATAAGAAAAGGTTCGGATGATCTAATATTTATTTGTGAATAGTCTACAAAAGTCAAAAGAGGTGAATTTTTCCTATTATAAACGTAAGAATAAAAATGTATTGTTGGCTTCAGAAAATGTGTGGAACAACAAAGATTGGAAGAAGGTTTCGTATACATTGACCATTCTACACAAAGGTCCATATCTGAAGATTTTTGTAAATAATTAAGTAATGAGTGCAGCTTTTCACGGATCACATTTGGTGAAATGGTTCTACATGTTCTACATGTTCAATAAATTCCGACTGATTGCAAAAAGCTTACGAAAACCTCTTTGCCTCACCAGAGAGAACATGCATGTAAATCAATGCGTCCAGTCCCTTCAAGCCACCCACATACGCATGCTCTCCCTTCTATCCATCTGCATGCAATGGGTTTGGTCCCTTGTATGTAGATCCCTGCATTGTTTCACTTATTCGTCGTGAATGAAATATGTTTGTTGATGGCAAATTGTGATGTGCAGCGGGTGAATCGTCACTAGAAGAGGCACTAAAGCTGATAGGTGGTTCGAAACTCAAGTAGAAAAGTTCAGATAAAAGAAACGTGAGAAAAGCTGTTTAGGTTATCTCTGATGTCTTTTGCTAAAAGCAATATAAATGAAGTTCATCGTATCGTTCCAAAAGTGTGGTGATTTTCGCTGTTTTACACGTGCAGAGCACACTGGGGAACTTCGATTGATCACAGCGACGAATGACTTTGCTGGTGCCCAGTCTAGATATTCGATACTGCAGGTGATATGGGTAACAAGAATTCCTTTTTCATGATGAAATCACATGATTTCACGGGCTATCTTGTAGATTTCATGAGCTCGATCAGGATTTCTCTTTGATTGATAGCTTACCCGCTGGTTACAAGACTTCTTCATTTGAAATAACCCTGCTACAGAGTTCTCGGATCGTCACCACAAACACTCGCTGAGTTTTAAGAATATCGCAGAAAACTTTTTTGAACACCAAATTGGCTCTTCTGGAAGTTTTTGAAGGTAATTTCTAGTAGGATTACTGTTAGCTGTTGAGCTACTTGACCAGGGTGGTAAACTCCTCTTCAGTTCCGTCGAATCGACTAAGAGGTGGATCCTGTGTTGAATATCACAGTTAGATCTGCAAAAATATGCAAATCGTCTAATATGACGGCCACCCAATGAATAGATTAGTACGTTAGATATGATAATAGAAACATATATTTGTTTTGTTACGTGAAGCTTGTAGGCACAGAATATTTCACTGGAAGACAATGGTAGTTCCGCGTCTTATAGTCATCGATCAGCGTTCAACACAATTTCTGAATGAAGCGAACGGTATCATTTCATGCAGTGACTGATGACATAAAACCTTAGAAAAAGAAGAGCGTGAGAAATTTGCTGATGTACCGAAATGACTGGCTTTGTTTTTGGAAGCTGCTTGAAACAAGCATCTTTCTGCTAAAAGCGTAAAGCTAAAGCTATTTAAAGGTTAAAGTTAAAGTTATTGAGTTAGACTATATTCTCCTAGGTGTTGCTCCGTAGAAGAAATCAATTCGATTCTGTTAGGAAGTGTGAGTTTTTTCTGATGAGGAGGAACCAGCGCTGCAACATATTCCTCCAGTTATCCCCAACACAAATTTAGCGTGGATCGAGCTTCATGTGCAGGTTCTGATTGCAATGATTGTTGAACTAAATTGAAATTGATGTTTTCTACCAAAAAAAAACGCGACACTCAAATTCTTTGATATGTGAATAAGTCAACCAGTGTATGCTTATGAGTGACCAAATGACACGCTGAGTTAACGATTCGGTGACGACGATTAAATGCGAGTTTGTGATATTTTGCACACATTTGGTTCCAAAAACAACCATGTAGTTTGCTTTCATTTAGTAATTTTGTCATGGATCTCCCTCATATCAGTGGTCCCAAGTAAATTAATCATGAGGCTACACAGTACCTGCCTTGGTGGGAGATATGATTAAATGCTGACTAGATACGACAGCATATAACTGCCCTGACGTGTAGATGGATTCTACAATGAATTTATGCATTCGGAAGTTGTTTCTGACACAAAGTTAATGTTTTCTTTCATGAGAAAAACAAACAAGCTGCCTGAACCTGCTAGGATGCGATGAGCTGATAGTTTGCAAAAAAAGCATCGTGTCCCACAAGCAAGAGTCGGATTAAACGAATCGGACATGAGATGGGAAACATGGAGACTTTTGTGGTGCCAGTTCAACTCGATGATTTACGGAACTACAGATGATAAAAATGATGCACAGTAGCACTGGTACTGCTTTTACTGTTACCATTGTCATCGTCATTATCATTATCACTATGCCCGGCATGGGCACGTGTAGCGTAATGGTTAGAGGTGTCTTGCAAAGAACACGTGGTCTTTGATTGGATCTCCATGCTCACCAAGACCTCCATATCTCTTACGTTAGCAAATTTAGTATCAGACTTATCTAGGAGGTTAGCAGCACCGATTTGATAAATCGATAGATAGATAGACGCAAGTTATTGTTTGGATCAGATATGTATTTTATCACTCCTAGCGTTGTATCAGGAATCTGGATACATGGACACTACCACAGCGGTTGGTCGTCACCGAAAACGATATCTTTTATGCTTCAGTACCTTTATTGTTAATGAGAAGTGAGAAATTTTCTATCTTGATAGCCTTATTCAAATCATTGCAGGTATTCCTAGTCGTCCTTGACAAGGGCTTTCGTTTTTGTTTTTTTTCCTTTTTATCGTCCTTGTGCAATAAAATTTGACTTTGATTGAATGATTTGCTAATCGGCGACAACCCGTTAGAATCAGTGGATGCCTCTAATATAGACCGACGGATTACCAAAATAAGCTTGAAAGAGGAGTGAAAATTTTAACCGTTCTGCAAAATACTATTCAAATGAAAGTTGCTCTGAAGCCCATAGGACTGAACTTCTTACCGGAGACATGTTGTTTAAGAACTAACTAATGTATGAGTGAATAAATAAGATTGAGGCGCTAGTGCATGCAAATATAATTCAAAAGTATTATTTCAACTGAGTAAGCTATGTTGACCTTTTAAACGCTTTTCTTTTTTCATGGAGGGTTATTGCGTGAAATACAACCATAAGGATGCCGATACACGTGCAAAACTGGAAACCTCAGGAAAGGTCCGAACTCTTGACTGGGGGCTCACGTGCTATCCATCATCCCCAAGTGAGGCCTTTGTTTTGACTTTCTCTCAGCAGTGGCTCACTCTATCGGTGAGAGTAAATGTCCAGTTTTCTATTTTCCCCCATTTTTCTCCTATTTTGCTATATTTTGTAGTTTTGAAGCTTTTTTTAAGTTGCACTCTGAGTAATCTGTAATACCTCAAATAAATGTGGCTGAATAAAATCGACGTATCCTGGTCTTTGGCAAATTTTTAGACAATTGATGACGTGGGAGTGTCCGGATTGTAGTAATGGAATCCAATGAGCCATGAGTGTAATAGGCCACAGTGGCCACAGTGGCTTTCTTTCTTCTTGGCGCGCAGTTCTGGAGAGACAGGAATGGAAGGACAGGACAGTAAACGGCAAAGATTTTTTTCATAAAAACGGATGGATGAACAGAAAACGCCAGTCAGCATGAAACCGGATGTGGAAAAGTTGATGATGTCGAAATGGATACGAGACTATCTCTTAATGATTAAGAGTTCTTTATTATCACATCGTATTACCGTAGCACTCATCTAAAAACTTCGAAAGTGAGTGAAAATCTGGAATTTTTAAGAATTTATTTGATATTTTATCGATAAGGGCACGTGAGGCCCAGTGGTCGGAGGCGCCCTGCAGCACAAACATGGAATCGATCCCAGCGCCCATGGTCCACCAAGCCTTCCATCCCTTCGGGATCGGAAAATTTGTACCAAAATTGCCTAGGAGGGTAGTAACTTCGGCTCGATACATCGTTAGGCCAAGGGAAGTCATTATGAAGGCCAAATATGCATTTAATCACCTCCAAACGATGCTTAGTGAAGTCGAATGCATTACGCATCCCTCGGGGATTGATGAATGCCAAGAGCTCTATCCTTTTTAATCTTATCGAAATGCCCTTGAATTTGGCAACAGACTACTTGCAGCATCGAGACATCTTTAAAAAAAGAGACGATGAATGCTCGACTTGACTTTTTGTACTTTTTTCCTCTCGCTCTAAATGAATGAAATCCAGAAGTATATTTGTTTCTGTGAAAATTTAAAAAATATTAACCTTTTTTATTAACTGCCTAGTATAATTTTTAACAGCATGGTATCATGTGAAATACAACTGAGGACCCGCATGGTGCAGTGGTGAACACGTTACTCGCTGGAGAGGACAATAGCGCGTTCGTTGCCCACCGCAAATACTTGCGGTCCGGACTTTTGCAAATGTCTCAGCATCATCTTAGTTGCATTTCACATAAGGAAATATTGTTCCGAACGTCCGAGTTGATTCTAGCTTTTCAAACAACGTAGTGATATTCGGTGTGGAATCGTCATCGGACGGTTTTCAACAGTGATCAGTAAGGCTCGGTAGCCAATCTCATGCCCAACTTTCTTCTAACTCCGCCACTGATTAATAATTCACTGTTTTCTTGGTGATAAAACACGAGATTACTATTACAAGATTCATTCATTCACAATAGCCGAAGTTTCGATAGTTTCGCCATCTTCAGAGCTTGGAAAGGTCAAATTAACACGCAGTCTACTTAGCTAAACATTTCTATAACCTCAGCAGTTAAAATTTAACACGTGAATTTTAATTCGAATAATAAACAGCCACCTTTAAACACTCACCATCTTCCTTGGAAAGTTCAGCTTACGACCGCTTTGTTCTTCGAAAGCCAAGCACTTCCTTCAACCATGTGACGCCGCACGTCTGGTCTCCATCGAATAACTAGATGGGCAACGAACAGCAACAGGATTAGTATGTAAAAGACGCTGTTTGTAACGCGAATGGAGGTTAATGCACTAGTTTTCATCTGGTGAGATTGCAAAAGTACTTGGCTGAATAGACTGCGAATCAATTTTATTCTTTTTTTTTTACTAATTTTGCTTTTTTGTGTGTTTCGGATTTCGTGAGGATTGCGTAAGTGCCACAGGCATTGTACAACGAAATTTCATTTATTAACATGTCTGTTAAACAAACGAATGGAGTAAAACATATTTAATAAATAAAATATGGTCAAGTAATATTCCAAAAAAAAAACAAGAAAGAAACAACTGAGATGAACTGGTTAATCGACACATAATAGTTGAAGGAATAGCAAAATCATGAGTGAGCCATTGTCATTACGAACGAATGACTGAGTGATCGAAGGGACGGATAAGTTCATCCGTGAAATGAAAACAGACTATAAATCACAGCAGGAAGGTTCTAATCCTCCCATAAACAGATCACATCTAATCATTTCTTACACTATTGATTCATGCACTCGTAGAAAACGTTTGTTATAGTACGGATCGAATCCCATCCAACGATGAATGCACCATAGGAGATGGTCCAGCGTCGACACTTCAACATCGTCCACAGGTTCTTTGCGAACTTCATTTAGAGCAGCAGCTACCGTTTCTCTAAAAATATTATCGACTGATTAGCAATTAGGACCACTTTTATGAAAATAATTGCCTTTTTCAAAAAATTAAGACCAAACAAGATAGGTTCGATCAATCTTGCTCTGAAAAAGGTGAAGGCACCGAAACATTAACCGATTAAAACACTTAAAACAATCGTGTCAGCTCGATAGTCTAAAAAAATATTTATCGTCCACACCAAAATTAAATAACAGCCATCTTTTTAAAAGTTCTGAAAAAAACTGATTTTTTAGAAAGAGATCAAATAGAAATCCTCATATCCAGAGCAGCTAGCGGTTCTCGTCCACCAGTTGCAGTTATGACGCATCACTTCTTCATTCCATCCTATTGTCAACATCTTTGGTACTCTATATGGTCATCTACATAGTAAATCGGAACCACGAAAAACTGTTGGGTCAAAAAGGTAAGCACTGAGACAAATGTTCTTTGTCCTCTTCACGATAACCTCCGTCTTTTGGAACCTCCTCAAGCCACTCGATTCCTCTTTTTACATGGAGCTAAAATGTCCATCGTACCCCCAGGTGCAGCAGTTAGAGAGTACGGACTATTGTGGAACGGTCGACTAAAGTCATCGGTTATGAGGAAGACGAAGACATCGAAACTTCAACCAACTAAAACTTGTACAACAACGTCGTGTAAGCTGAACGATCCAAAAATATTTACTGGCTATTCACGTCGAGCCTAAGTGAAAGTCGGTCTAGTAAAGTACAATCAGAGATATTCAGTCTGCTGGGGTAACGAGAACAATATTGGTAGCAATGGAGTTCGCTTTTAGGTTCTTCCGAAATTGTCTTCCTGCCATCCAGTGTCAAGTGTATTTCCTACCGTAACAAAAAAAAAAATAATTCCCGGTATTTTGGACCATTCAGGCTTTAACGAATTCCTCACTAGAGTACACAAAAAAATTATACACCACAACTGTTTTACCAAAAAATTCATCCTCTCGTTTTTTTTGCTCTTTTTTTTGCCTATTTTCCTCTTAAGCACTTTTTTCCAGTTCAAGAACTCGTTCATAATGAAAGCGAAAGGAGCGAAACACCCACGGAAAAAATGTTCTCTGTGAAAGAAAAATATGATAGGTTACGAAGCATTGTAAACAGGGAACTGTTCCATCAATGAATCATAATATACATTGAGAAAAAACGCATGAGAGGAAAAACTGTCCACTTACTTCACACGAAGAACAGCTGACGCATTACAGGTACCATCATTGTTAATGAAAATGAAATTCTCTCTCCTGAAGAGCTCCATTTTTGACAATTTCGACACGTGATCTATCTAAACAATAGGTAACCGATGAGTACTAACTCTATCCACTAGGTTGGTTGTTGAGCAAAACGTCTCCTCACCATCGCTATGCCTAGCTGTGTTTACTGGTGTATCGTAGAAGAATAATAGATTCTTCATGGAAAGTGATTACATAGAGCCCTCAACACTCGCGCTAGTAATGGATGATATATTCATGACAAAATCAGTTCAATTTTCTTTATTATACTAATATCTCTGCATGAATTGCAAATGGTTGGAGACCCACTCCAATATAAATAAAGTCGGTGGTGTGCTTTCGTGGCCCAAGCCAACCAAACTCTTCGTCTTCGGAGTCGGAAAGTTGGTAAAGCACTTATATGGGAAGATAAAACATGGACTTGATAAGTCACTTTGAAACACAAATCGTTTTAAAAGACACATATGTATTCAATCAATTCTACGGTAGAATCAAATGCATGGCACATCCCAAAGGGATTGATAAACGCCGAACACTACTCCACCCTTATAATCGGAATCACTGTAGACAGAGCGTAAAAATATGCTGACCACGCTTAAGCTTGAAGGTGAAAAGGACGAATGGAGAGAGAATTCAATGATGCCCTCTTAAATCACTCCATCGTTGAGCAAGTTAAACATTCTATTCTCATGCGTTCATTGCTTGTTAGCTTATAGTCCAGTTGTTTTTGTGATATATCTTTCTTTTTGTTCCTTACTAAATTCTTTCAATAACATATCACTGGTAGTGTGAGTCACATACGTCTCACCAGCACTACTGTATTCCTACTGTATTCATACTGTATTCCTGCAATATTGTCAATGCGTACAAGTTAAGATCATTATTTTGACGCTGAGAATATTGTATAAATGCAGTACATAGATAAAATGCTACCGTTTTCGCTTCCCATACTTCCACCACTTCTTGAGAGAACAGAAAAAAGAACACCAACTAACCTGTACAATGATTGGTACTACATCTCTGTTACCCATAAAAAAGTTTGATGATGACGCAAGCCTAAAAATCCATACATCTAAGAAACTGTAAAGTTTCGATAGGCTTCCAATCTTACAACAAGAAAAATCAAAGTTGTAGCGCTGCACAGAGATGTAGATACTTACCTACTTGCTACTTGAATGGCCCACCCTCACTGGTTGTGCGGGCCTCAGCATAATCTCCATTCTTCGGAGATTTGCTGGTTAAGCCATTGTGGTTCCCTGTAATCCCGAGGTCAGCCTGGCCAAAGTCTACCTCAGGTCTTCACCACCACAGGCAGTCGCAGTCCTTGTGGATTAAAGGGAGATTTACCACCATGGGACTTTGACACCAGAACGGTGGTGGGTCCTGGTATTGGTTTACTCTTAGCTAGGCTTCCTGATGGAAACGCAGGACTCGTTCTCAGCTTGGGAGACCTTACCAGGGGATGAATCCCCTGCTGTACCGCTGTACATCGCAGTACGACACCCAGAAACACCTCCCAGTCACGATGAAGCGGTAAACCCGTTGGGAGGGGTGTAGATATTTTTCATAAACTTAAATGATACAGATGTTCATACCTGCTCATCCACTGGTTTACTAATCTAACTTCTTAAAAAGTGATTACACCTAGGAACAGCTATGTTTAATGAGAATCTCGTTTCTCTGGTGAAATAATCCAAATAGAGAATAAGTTCAAAATCTTCATGTCTAGGAGCGTTCCTATATCCAAACCAATGCCACTGATAACTGCTGCTTTTAAAGAAATCTGGATACAAGGATATAAGCTGCTATTTGATCCACAAGAGTGCACGACTTCCTGTGATCCTCACTGAGAAAAGCCCTAGTGCGGGTTATCTTGAGGCTCCAGGAAGAGGAAATCAAGTCAAACCAGTAAACACATCAATTAAATGGAAAATGTCCTAAAAGCAAGATTCGTCTTGAAAATAGACCACTCAAGTACTCATGCAAATAGTAGTGATGCAGTTGAAGGGAAGGCTATGCGACCGAGTAGTTGCATAAGAGAAGAAAAATTTACATATGGATGAACAAAAAATAAACAAATCGATATGAAACGTCGATAGATAGAGTAGATGTTGAAGTAAATCGATGAAAACTTAAAGCATAGATGACGACAACAAGTCTCCTGCATTAATCTCATCGAAATCACACATCTTGTACTCTATTGTGAGCTAGTAAATGTTGGAACCTCTTCGCCTATCCTTTAAGATGACATTTAGAATCCATTTGATAAACGAATCGATTGTTCGTCTAACAGTCTTCATTGACGAGCCCTGCCAGCTGCCTTCCAATCCGTCTACCGTCATCACCGAACAGATAGAGAAAATGAGCAGTATTTGTGCCACTTACTATTTGCGATGTATCAGCAACGTTTCATCGGATTTAACTACACTTTCGACGATTAGAAAAAACGAATATGCTCTTCCTTAATAAAAGCAACTATTTTAGCATGGTGCGTATGGCACAGTGGTTAGAGATGTCGGCGATTCACACATAACTTTCCCCTGGGTTCACCAAGCCTTCCATCCCTCCGGGTTCGGAAATTTGGTACCAAACGCGTCTGGAATGTTACCAAAATTGAGTTAATATATAGGTATACCACGAATATGCATTGAACCACATCTAACGATGACTAGTAAAGTCGAATGCATGGCGCATCTCCTAGAGACTGCTCCACGCCTAACGTATTATTCATTACACTTTTATTTTAGCACGGTGTTTTATGCAGATGAATTGCTTGGAATACTCACCAATAGGGCATTTTCGCGCATTTATAATATTGAGCACCACATAGATATGTCATTATGGATGAATCTGAAGACTGACGACGGTTCATCAGAAGTGCGACCTGAATTCCGTTATCTTCGGTGCTGATCTGATTGACTGTGCAAAATTTTCACTATAAACAATTATTTATAGGAGCTGCAAAATAATCATCAGCTTCAAGCAGTAATGAAGATTACAGGATTTTAATCCATGGTAGTTCGTTTTCTTACAGAAAATCTAGAAATCTAGAATTAGGATAGCGTACACACTCTGGAGAGCGCGTGTGGTACAGTGATTAGAAGGTCTCTTCAATACACACTGGATCGGTCATTAGGTCGATCCCGGCATCTAGGGCTCACCAACCTTTCCTCTGAGGTTGGAAAATTGATACAAATGTTCTCTAGGACGATAAACGCCTCTGAGTTAATGAATCGCTATGCCAACTCAAATCATTTTATATATGAGCGAATATTTCAGTAAACAATGAAAATTCAACCACAACGTTGCTGAGATATTTGCAAAACTCTGGACCGCAGGTGTCTATGGTGGGGAACGAACGCGCTATTATCCTTTCCGGAGAGTAACGCGTTCACC